CTGCGCGACCGACTGTTCCATCCATAATACAATAATATATCAGTTTCGAGAAGGAATATTTAACAAGCAAGAACGAGGAACACACCGGCGCGATCGTTAACGTCGTGACCGAGCTTCTCGACCGACCGACGCCAACAAGCTCGTCCGACTTTGGAATGAGTTCAGACCCAGAAAACAGGGTTCAAATATTAGAGCGTACTGCCTTCTCACGCTGCTTGTGGGCCTCGTTCTAGAGATAAGCCACAGCGAGGAAACACATGGCCTACAAAGAGCGGCACCGAGGAACTCACATATAAGAAGAGCGCCTATGATGTACCACGCCCAAAAATGAGATGTTCGGCGGCAGGTGCCCGTTCTCAGGGCAGTCAACGTTGGCGCAGCAGAAGCAGTGATGAGGTTGTTTGCGCTGCGAACGATACACTTCAAGATATGGGTGACGAGAGACATTTCCTTTTTGAAGTGGTGAGTGTGGTAAATGGGTAGAGGACCTGGCGAAAGAAAATAATGAATTTTCCGAACGATCTGAATGATTTTCTCGACCGGTCCAAGCTACTGTGTTAGATTTCCGACCCGAAAACGTTGGATTTGGCTGTTTTCGCACCTTGTTTTTTGCTGCACACGCTATATCACCCTAAGTTTCGTCCGCATTCTCGATCGAACTTTCAAAGCATGAAAAGACCAATTTTGAAGGGTGGCACAATATCTGTGGTTTGTGATGATTTTTTTCCTTGCGCCAGCGACAGATTGAACGTTCGGGAATTCAATGCGTTTTTGAGTTGAAATGAGTCCATCTCGTCAGCTACCAAGATCGGACCGTGCGTTTTTTTTCTGCGAAATTGCCCACATTGGGATCGGAGTCGGGCTGTAAGCCCTTTTTCAACTCGCGCACCAGGATCAAACTTCTAACCGTATATCCATTAATGAATCATCTCAGTAAAGATCTCCCGTCCAAGACGGAAATAAGTGGGTTGCTTTCTGGGCAGAATGACTAGGCTGCTTGGCTGCCGCAGAGGGGCCTCGACACGCTGAGACGCACAAGAATTCCGGCAGGATCTTGGGTGTCAACGGATCGTACTTGAATATCTGCTTGATCCGACTTGAAGAAACCAGGGAGGATATACAGATTTCGAGCGGGTTTCAGATGATTCCCCTCAATTGTGGCAGCATGGACCGGCACAGATTCGATGTGGGGGCAGAAGGAAAGGCAGGATCGGACGTTCGGACCCGATGCCTGCGGCCAATCAATTCGATCAACTCCGAGTCAGCACTGAGGCCTGAGGAGGCGCCCCGTGCGCAAGGCCTTGTACTTCACCAAAAAAGGCATTGGCGACGGCTCCTGCTCGTACGGCCTCGAAGACGGCGACGACATCCTCATGTCCCACTGGAACGGCACCATCATCGGCCCAGGGCACACCACCCATGAGAACCGCATCTACAGCTTGAGGATTACCTGCGGCGACCAATAACCCGACCGGCCCCCGACCGTCCAGGTCCGTGCCGCTGCGTGCTCTCGCTCACACTCACGCTTATCCTAACGCGTTCGCCCGCCCACAGTTCCTCTCCCGCGTCGACCTCCCCTTCGTCTCCCAAACCGACGGCATGGTCGACCCCGCAAAGCTCCCCGTCCTCGCCCACTGGACCCACTGCAGCAGCCTCGAGCTTATGTTGGTCGAGATCCGCAAGTGCGTGCATGCTGCTGCCTTTGTTTATTTCATCTTTGCTTCGCTTTCCTTTCTTCCGTATCTTTCTTTGGCTTTGGTTCTGTGTTTCATTTTGCATCTTTGGCTTCGCATTTCTTTCTCTGCCTTGTTTTGGTTCCCACCCCCAGTGAAAACAGCGCCGCGGGAGAAATCGCGTGGTATCAGCTGGTATCAAGTGGTCTCGAGAATTCCAAAATTACTAGTTTTAGACCCGTTGATACCACTTGATACCATGGAGGAGAGATGTGAGACTTTGTATCGGTTGGTCTCAGCTGGTACAAAAATTTTTAAAGCCATCAATTTTTCAGTGCTACTATAAAATACATTGGGGGTTTGCTGCTTGCTGCGCCCCGCCCGCCATTGCTGCATGCCTTGCTCATTGCCGCTGCCACCCTCGCACCCAGCTGACCCTCGCGCCCAGCTGACCCTCGCGCCCAGCTGACCCTTGCGCCCAGCTGATCCTCGCCAACGCCCACCCGCCACCCTCCCCGATTCCCCACCGTTTGTGTGCCCGTGCGCTCGAGCACCGCGACGAAGAGCCCGCCCGTGTCCTGCAGGTGGGGATATCTGCACCTGCAAAATAAGTTTTCATTTCATTTTCGCATTCCAGGAAAGAGAGTGCAGAGCGTACCGTTTTGCAAATGTTCCCACGATATCTTCGCCTTGACCATGTCGCCTTCGGTGTATGTCTGCATGAAGGTGTCGTACGTGTCGCACGACGTGCAGAGCAACTTGTCTGTCGGCCGCCACGGCAGGAGCTTCACGGAGGCGTCGCCCGCGCACATCAGTCGGATACGGTTATAGTTGTGCGTGACGAGCAGTTCGACGAGGTCGTTGGTGATGTACAGATTGCGGTGCCTGTGCATGGAGACGTCGGCTTCCTGGGCGGCGAGGTGCGAACGAGGACGTTGGAAGAGGGGAAGGCGGGCGTGAGGTGAAGGCTTGAGTTATACAAATAAAATACACTGAGAAATCTCCGTTGCTCCCGTGGATAGATCGCCAATTGCCGACAGCACCTGCAGCAGCATGAGCATATTGACAGCTTGTGATGAGTGCACGGACCTGCTTTGCCAGATACGACGCCGCAAACCTTTAGGGAGATCCTTGCCTGATTCAATCTGGTCGCACACGCCGGTAAAGATGATGTGCGATACACCGCCATCATGACCGTCTGCTCCACGACCTTGCGCAACACCTTCCCCTTGAGCATGGTCGAGAACCGGTCGCCCTTCGCCGCGCAATCTTCTCCACCATCCCGCCGAAGAATGAGTGAGGTTATATTGATGGCAAGATTAGATATTGAAGGCTTCGCGTGTTGAATAACTTGAGTATGCTGCATTGAATCCTAACTTGAATAGGATAGCTTTTGACTATACAAGTTTGAAGCAGCCAACGCCAAAAGCATTGAACTATGACCACGGATTTGCCCAATGTCGGCTGATAGAGGCAGAGTGCAGCCATGATGAGATGGAAGCCAGGTACAACGGACGGAGTGACCGCAGCTCACAGCGGTGGTGGTGGGAGGAGAGAGGTTTGCGCAAAACAGCATAAAGTCCCCAGACCACGTCACTTCGACGTCATTGGGCGGAACACGGACCGATGCTTCTGTGAAATAAACATGGTAGAGAAAGCTTTGGGGGGAACGAGACCGCCCAAGACCAGCTGATGCCACCTGATACCAGCCGATTCATCTCAGAGACGCTCTTTTTCACTGGGAAAGTTACTGACATCACCCTTTTTATTTTGCCAGACTTGAGACAGTTCTGGTCAAAATTGCGGCGAGCTGATACCCCTCTAGCCCATCCGATACCACGTGATTTCTCCTGCGGTGCTGTTTTCACTGGGTCCCACCACTAGCGCACACAAAGAGAAATGGCCACCCAGGCAAACCACAAGCTCCCCCAGCCCCCCGAGGGCAGCATGTTGTAGACACCCCCTCTTCTCTCCTCACCTCGCGCATGGGTGCCTTAGCGTTGGGCGTTCGTGTTCGCTTCAATGCGCGTTGGTGTGGGTAGGGTGTGGTGCGAAGAGGGTACAAAGGAAAGCAGGGTAGGGTACAAAGGGAGAAGGGGAGGTGTACGATACGATACGATAGACTCTGGCGGTGTGGTATATTATACAATGCGATGATCGAACTCGCTCACGACGAACGCTGTACATGGCTTCTCAAATCTTTTCCGTTCCGCAGACCCAAGGACACTTCCCTCCTTTCCTTTCCTTCCACCGCAACGAGCGGTACGCGTAGCCAACAGTGAACCGTTCCCGGGACCGGGCCCGGGCCAAAAACTTTACGGAAACCGAGTCATGCTCCAAGCGGGAGTCGAACCCACCTCTGCCCGAAATACTATGGGATCTACTACGACGAAAATGATCAGGCCGGTCTCCCGCTGACCCATTGGAGCTTGGGGGGATTCAGTGGAGGTGTACGAGAAGATAGACTCTGGCAGTGTGGTGTATTATACAATGCGACGAATGAACTCACTCACTCTCTCACGACGAACTCTGTACATACACAGCATCTCAAATCTCGACCCCATATTTTTCCTCGGACGCAAACTTCGGTCCTTTCCTTTCCTTCCACCGCATCAAACCGTACGCGTGCGCGTGCGCCCGGGGCTAAAAGATTCAAGTAAAAGAAACTCAAAACCAACAGACGCTCCAAGCGGGAATCAAACCCATGTTTGCCTCAAACCAGTTAATGACATGTTAAAATTTCGAAACCGGTCTACCACTAACCCATTGCAGCATGAAGTTTCAGTGAAGGTGTACAATAGGATAGACTCTAGTGGTGTGGCGTATTGTACAATGCGACGAATGAACTGACGACGAACTCTGTACATACATCGATGGCTTCTCAAATCTCGAACCCACCTTTCCCTTCCTTTCCTTTCCTCGGACGCAACAACACTTACCTCCTTTCTTTTCATTCACCACAACAAACCGTACGCGGGCGCGTGCGCCCGGGCCAAAAAGCAAACCATAGCCAATCCACGCTCCAACCGGGATTCGAACCCACGTCTGCCCACAAACATTAACTAGCGACTTCATGAATAAACAGGCCGGTCTACGTGGATATTTGGTCTAATCTGCACTCAACTCGACGAGTGACAGACCTTAAGTTCTTAAGTTAAAGCCCAGACTAAGTAGGCACTCTTCAAGTAACCTACTTATAAATCCCACCTTAGTGATCACCGTGAACATAACCGAACCTAAAACACATAACGAGCTTTATCAACGAATCCGCGATTGTATCCATCCATTGCCGATGGAAATCCAAAACAAAAACACATTGGTAATGCACGCTCCAAGCGGGAGTCGAACCAACATCTGCCTGCCAAATTTTATACGACCTGAAGAAAGCATCAGGCCGGTCTACCATTGACCCATCGGAGCTTCATTGCATATTTGCATTCCCATAATACTATACGGTTTCCATCCAAGTGTTTCTCACTGGCTTCAAAGCTTCAAGTTCATCAGGCTGGTCTACCACTGACCCATTGCCTCAGCGGGATTCAAACCCAGCCCACATTTGCCTGCCAAGCTTGAGATACTTTGCTGAAAGTACTAGGCCAGTCTACTGCTGACCCCTTGGCACTTCCAATCCTCGGAATTGTCTGAATCGTGGAGCACATGATAGACAAACTCTGATGCCCTTCTCGACAATCCAGTTCTCGGATCCAGACATGTACATAAATTGTTACACTCGCAAACCAACCACTCCTCCTCCTCCTCCAAGTAATATGTATTGACCACAAAGAAAAAAACTTCATCCTCCTTAAGTGCTCCAAGCGGGAGTTGAACCCACATCTGCCTGCCAAATCTGATATACACCACAGAAATCCTCAGGCTGGTCTACCATTGACCCATCTGAGCTTGATTACATGCATGCATTCCCATAAATACTATATGGTTTCGTCCAAGTGTTTCTCACTGGCTTCAAAGTTCATCAGGCTGGTTTAAAAATACAACTGACCCATTGGCTTGGAAATTGGAATCATTAGCGGGATTCCCACCTGTAATTCCCTGACCTTGCCTTTCTTTCATATCCTTGCCCTTCCTCTTTGTTTCCTGCTCATCTTCACCTCTGCCACATTTCTTCATTCCGTATCTCTCATGTCCTTGTCTTCGCGTTGCTTTCTTCCGTATCTTCATCTTTGAGTTTCTTCCTTTCTCCTGCCTCTTTGGTGTTTCCTCCCTCATATATTTATTTTGGGCATTTCTTCACTCGTTTGCCCTCTATATCATATTATGCATCCACCACCCACTAATGAACACACAGGGAAATGGCCTCCCATGCAAACCGCAAGCTCCCCCTGCCCCCCGAGGGCAGCATGTTCTAGGCATCCCCTCTCCTCGCCCATTGGTTTGTTAGAATTGGGTGTTTGGATGTTGGACATTGGGTGTTTGGACATTGGTGGTGCTGTACGTGCTGTGTGTGGTGCAGGGAATTTGGGAAGAGAAGCCAAGCAGGGTTGGGTACGAAGAGAAGGGGAGGTGTATGATACAATAGGATAGACTCTGGTGGTCACGGTGGTGTGGGGTGGTGTATTGTACAATGCAACAAATGAATGAATGAACTCACGACCAACTCACGTACATGGCTTCTCAAATCTTGAACCTACATTTCCTTTCCTTTCCTTCTACCGCAACAAACCGTACGCGTAGCCAACAGTGAACCACGCCTGGGCCAAAAAGATTTGAAGTAAAAAGAGGTTAGAAGCCAACACACGTTCCAAGCAGGAGTCGAACCCACATCTGCCTCGAAAATTACGAAACCTTTTCCGAAAATTACGAAACTGGTCTACACTGACCCATTGGAGCTTGTGTCCCTCCAGTGAATGTTTGGTGTAAGGTGCACTCAACAAGCGACAGACCTTCAAGTTATTAAGGTAAAGCCAAGACTAGGCACTCTTCAAGTTGCTTACTTATAAATGCTACCTCAGTAATCAGCGTAACGTAGACAAATCTACATAACGAGCGTGAAACGTACGGGATTGAAGTCCATCCATTACCAAAACAAAATTCCAAAATGAGATGCACACTCCAAGCGGGAGTCGAACCCACATCTCCCTGCCAAGTTTGTAATGCAGAAATGAAAGCATAAGGCCGGTCTACCATTGACCTATCGGAGCTTGCTTATATATATGCATTCCCATAAATACTGGATGGTGTTCGTCCAAGTGTTCTCACTGGCTTCAAAGCTTCAAGTTCATCAGGGTGGTCTACCACCGACCCATTGGCTTAGAATCATCAGCGGGATTCAAACCCAACCCGCATCTGCCTGCCAAGTTTGATATACTTCACTAAAAGCACCAGGCCAGTCTACTGCTGACCCCAGGGCACTCCCAATCCTTGGAATTGTCATGGAGCAGTGCTAGGGCGCTGTTTATAATTCCGCGGCACATTATAAACAGTTTATAATTTTGTGTTTATAAACAGCGTGTTTATAAACATCTGGCACGAAAGCAGTTATAAAAGTGGTGTACCTACTTCCCTTTCCCCCCGTGATGACCCCAGCTACCTTTGTTTTGCTTTTGGAGCCCTCTACCGCCCGCTTTGACCAGTTACCAAAATTCCCAACCTCATCCGCAACGGATATGGGCGCATCTGAGAGCAAATCGGCAAGGTCATAACATTCTCATTGTGTGGTGAGCTAATTGTGGTGCTCTCAGTCAACTGAGAAGGTGGTGTTGTTGTATTGTTGTCGTCCCCGGCTCGCCGCCCTCAATTGCGATTTTTTTGGGCTCGGCAATTCCCGGGTATGCCCGGGCCGGGGTCCGGTTTAATTAAAAACCGGTACTTTCGGCTGACCCATTTAAAAACCGGTTTATAAACCGGTGTTTATAAACATGTTTAAAAACATCAATAAAAAAACAGTGCCATGGAGCACATGATAGACTAACTCTGATACCCTTCTCCCCACTCGGATCCAGACATGTACATGAACACACAGCCCTTTCGTGGGGAACCCTAAACATGCCTGCACACAAATTAAGGACTTGCATAAGTGAAAAGTATGTGTCAACCGCGCCCCCTCCAAAAACAAAAAGAGGGTCAGAGGCCAAGAAGTATGCTCAAAGCAGGAATCAAACCCACATCTGCCCGAAAATCCACTATGTACAAGAAGTTTATCAGGCCGGTCTACCATCGACCCATTGGACCTTCTGCACCCTTGAATGGTCGGGGAGGATATGATAGGCGAACTCTGACATCCTCCCTGCCCACTTCCCAACCTCCCACCACTCGGTTCTTGGATCGCAGGGAACTGTAAATATCCATGCAGACGAACCGAATAAGTGAAAAGTATACATCAACTGCACCTCACTTCACTCCCCACAAAAAAAAGTGCGGTACACCATCTACGCTCCAAGTGGGAATTGAACCCACATATACCTCTGAAAATCATATGGAATCAATACCAGAACTTGTGAGGCCGCCACCACTGGCCATTAGAAATTTCATGGTCCGAGTGTGGATGTGTACTAGCCGAATGACAAGGACGCATCCACTTGTCAGTTTTCAAGTTATAACCTCAACTCAGCACTGAGCTCAGCGAGCAGCTATGCACCGGCACCCCCAAGAAGAACTGAAAAAAAGGACTGAGGATCACTATCCATCGACGAAACTTCAGCGATTGAATCCATCCATTGCCGATGGAAAACAAAAACAAAAACACCTTGATCATGCGCACTCCAAGGGGGAGTGAGTCGAACCCACATCTGCCTGCCAAGTTTTGTACGACTAGCCCAACGCATCAGGCCGGTCTACCATTGACCCATCAGAGCTTGTTTACATGCCTGCATTCCCATAAATACTATACAGTTTCCATTCAAGTGTTTCTCACTGGCTTCAAAGCTTCAAGTTCATCAGGTACCACTGACCCATCGGCTTAGAATCATTAAGTAGTGGGATTCAAACCCAACCCACATCTGCGTGCCAAGTTTGATATACTTCGCTGAAAGCATCAAGCCAGCCTACTGCTGACCCCTTGGCACTTCCAATCCTTTGAATTGTCGTGTGGAGCACATGATAGACTAACTCTGATACCCTTCTCGCCACTCCAGTTCTCAGATCCGGACATGTACATGAACACACAGCCCTTTCGTGGGGAACCCTAAACATGCCTGCGCACAAATTAAGGACTTGCGTAAGTGAAAAGTATGTGTCAACTGGCGCGTCTCCTCCAAAAACAAAAAGACAGGTTAGAGGTCAAGAGGCATGCTCCAAGCAGGAATGGAACCCACATCTGCCCGAAAATTTGAAGCATTACACGAAGTTTACCAGGCGGGTCTACCATCAACCCATTGGAGCTTCTGCACCCTTGAATGGTTGGGGAGGATATGATAGGTGAACTCTGACATCCTCCCTGCCCACTTCCCAACCTCCCACCACTCAGTTCTTGGATCACGGGGAACCGTAAATATGTATGTGGACAAATCAAATAAGTGAAAGTATACATCAACCACGCCTCACCTCACTCCCCCACAAAAAAAAGTGCGGTACACCATCTGTACGCTCCAAGTGTGAATTGAACCCATGTATGCCTCTGAAAATTGCATGGAAGAATACCCCAACTTATGAGGCCAGTCTACCACTGACTAATTGGAGCTTCAAATTTCATGGTTCAAGTGTGGACGTGTACTAGCCAATCGACAAGGACACATCCACTCATCAGTCTTCAAGTAATAACCTCAACTCGGCACTGAGCTCAGCAAGCGGTGAGCAACCAACGAGCTATGCACCAGCACCCCAAGAGGAACTGAAAAAAAGGGTGAAGATCTTCATCATGCTCCAAGCAGGACTGAAACTTGCCTCTGCTGTTTCCTCCAGGTGAAATTAACAAACTATTCTATGGCTGACACATTAGAGCTTGCCATGGGCATTGGAACACAACCTTCTTTCCTATCCAAATAATCAAGCAGGCATATCTTCTCCATCAAGCAAAGTCGGTTGTTTGAACCAACACTAAATGAGGGCAGTACAACATAGATAGTGTTAATCGCACCAACAGACATAAAAAAAAAGAGAGAGAGAGAAGCCTCAAAAACGACAGGCTCCCCACTGGCACTGATGTTCCGAGCGGGATTTGAACCCACATCTGCCCGAAATCTCGTCAAATTTTAAATAACCAGGCTGGTGTAGTGTTCACCCATTAGAGCTTCTAACCCTTCAAGTTGTCGGGGAGTATACATGTTCATAAAGTACAGGACCTGGTCCATTATACCCAAATTGAATGTACCCGAGTACGCTCAATGGCATTGAAGCAACAACACCTTATTCATCTCTTCCAACGGGCATGCAAAATTTATTTCAAACAACGCTACTACTACAACCTAAAAACAAAAACAAAAAATCGGAAAAAGGATTCAGGTCATTGGCGTCTAACACTCCAAGTGGGATTCAAACCCACATCTGCCTGGGAAATTATTGTACTACTCCAATCTACTGGGCCAGTCTATCATTGACCCATTGGAGCTTGTACACTAGTAAATACAGTGGTGGCGAAAAGAAATGAGCGTAGTTGTTTGGGCCCATTTCCGGGACGAATCTCCTCAAACAAAATTGCAGCATCAGTGTTGAGCAATGTAAAGCTTGTATGAACAGTTTAAACCATACTATACCGGTCTCGATGTCCCACAATAAAATAAATTGGCATATTCTGAAAATTCGACTTTGCGGAATCACATGCCATCGAAAAATTGTCATCATAACATGAAAGTACTTGAAAAATGAAGAGTACTCTCATTTTATTTCATGGGAATCCATTGAGATTTGGGCTTGCAATGCTTGCCGCAAGTCGGCCATTTTGGGTGAAAATAAGCGAAAAGTGGCCAAAAATAGTCAAAATGGCCGACTTGCAGTGGGCATTGCGAGCCCAGATCCGAAGGGATTCCAATAAAATAAAATGTAAGTATCCTTCAAGTGGTTGACTTTCCATAAGCCTAGAAAATTCCTGGGGCATATTTTCGGTCATTTGGCCGAGATGCCGGGACAGCTGTCAGGACCCCATCAGGCTCAGATCTCAGTTGGAATATCTTCGACCCTCGTTTAAATCTTAATCAATTGTTATTCTGGAGGGGGGGGTCGCTACCCCCTCTTCAGATTATTTGCCTCTTAAATAAACACATTCGTGCTCTTCTCGTTCGTTTGCGCTGCCTCTTTGGGCTACCTGTCACTGATGTCATCACATAAGTTGCCCCCCGGGCCAGTGCCTCGTCGTTAGCCTACATGTCTTGTCTGCACACACACGATCCACACCCATTGGCTCATGGCAACGACGGCAATGATGACTATCACAAATACAAAGCAACTAGGTTGCCGTCGTTCCGTTCGTGCCTCGACTGCCCCATCACGGTTCTTCGCGCAAGTTGTTCGTCGAATTCATCATCCTAGAGGTCCTCGAGATGTTGGCTGATGTAAAAACGCGTCAATGTCCATTGTTGAATGCGGAACGCGTCATTCGACGAACGAGACGCGTTGTTGGGAGCTGTTTACTACAACAGATATTATTTATATTTAAGAGACAAAGACAGTTATTCTTGTGCTGGCTTGTGGGAAGCAAGAAGGAATAGAATTATGGAATATATGGACATGCCGACAGCTCTGGCACCGCTCCGAGTCAGATATCCCGTCGGAATTTTCTAGGCTTATGGAAAGTCAACCAGTACTTTCAGACTATGATGACAATTTTTCAATGGCATGTGATTCCGCCGAGTCGAATTTTCAGAATATGCCAGTTTATTTTATTGTGAGACATCGAGACCGGTATAGTATGGTTTAACTGTTCATACGAGCTTTACATTGCTCAACACCGATGCTACAATTTTTTTTGAGGAGATTCGATCCGGAAATGGGCCCAAACAACCGCGCTCATTTCTTTTCGCCGCGACTGTACTAAGTAGTCGGGGAGTATATGGTATGTGCATATGTTCATGGGTGGCGTACATATAGCTGCTGACTTGTCTTGACAATTGCTTTCGACTGCAACAATTCAGAATGGTCAAGTACAGGAGATGAACCCATGAAACAAAAACGCAACCAAAAATTTTGAAACAGTGACAGAATGAGAATGGTGATTGATACTTGGTTTCATTCACATAGTAATGAACAGTGATTTTCATTCATCTAACAACGAAATGCAAGAATTTCCCTGCAGGAAGTTGTCTTTCAGTTCCTAAGAGCTGTATGCAGTCACATCCTGACATGTATAGATTGAACATTAATCAAGATCGGTCTGAATCCCGGTCCGTTCCTTGATTCAAGCTGCATATAAGTATACTAGCATATATTTGCAAAGTCAGTCTACTCCCATTGACCCTTTTCTTAATTACAATATACATGTGATATTTGCCAGTCACCACTAAATTGGCAACGTGGCCCCAGAGCGGAAAAAAACTTGTCATCAGACAAACTTGAACTTGAACATCAGCACATTTCAAACCCTCCGGTCTAATATTTCAGCCGATTGACCTGAACCAAAAATGATCGACGTACCATATTAATAAAGGGCTGAACCGCAAAGCTTCCAAGCCTGACAAGCTTTAGAATGTGCCCTCGTAGAAGTAATATTAATAGGCTACTATCTCAGGCATGTCAATAATCCCTTTCAAAACATTCCTCGTGTTCTGGCTTCAAACATTCGCAAAAGAGGCTGTTCATCCACATGAGTTGGATCCATGTTTTTCACCCAAGTCGTCGGATTTCGTTTCCGTGGTAACAAGAGTTGATTTGGCTGACCAGCTACTTGACGATTGTTTCACTGTATCACTCGATAATTGAAACACTGATAACTGTGAAGGGATTCCACTCATCGTTGTGACCCATTCAGTTTGTCCGGCCTAGTCCTTTTTTGTCTAGGGAAGGATTCCGAGAATAGCAAAGAAAGTCTAAGTGGTTTTCAAGTCAAACAACTCAATATTCCAAGGAGGACGATAATATAGAAGAGTATAGATGCTTTAAGGCAAATACCGGCGAAAACATGTTTGAAATGTAGCTACATATCTGCTCTGTGACATGCTATTTCAACACGACGGCACGTATTCGTTGCGCGAAGAAATGTGACCCCCGTCCGAGCGTGGCAAGCATTGCTGCGAGTGTATTACGTGGAGAGGGTGGATCTCGACGGATGGGAAGATTATTTCCCGGCGAAACCGGGGATGAGGATGATGACGGTCTGCGTTAGATGCATTAGATGGATCTGGATTACGACCCAAAAATGATCTTGTTGGATCGTCCTTCTGAATTGCGACTCGAATTAGACCTTCCGAACGATGTGTGATGAAAACCAAGTTCAAACGTACCTCGGACATCATCAACAGGCCAGTGGGGGACAAGAGGAAAAGGTAGCTCAACCCGCCCATGCCTCAGTGACACTGATTCTTCAGGGTATTAGCACGCGTAATGTGTGCGAGCGCCTCATCCTCTGACGGCGCATTGTTCGCATTCTGCGCTACCGATTTTTTCATCTACAATATTATACAGCACGGTCAGTTTGGTGAGAAATTTAAGAAGCAACAGTGGGACGCACCGGTGCGATGTACGCTGGCGGCGGTGGTGCGATCGTTGTGACCGCACCCTCTGCGAGCTTCTCGACCGACCCCCTGAAGTTCTTAGCCTCGTCCGATTTCTTTATCTGCATGAGAAATTAATGTTAATTAGTAAATATCGTTTGAAGAGTAGGGCGTACCGGCTGCGAAGTCTTCTCACGTTGCTCGCGGGCAGCCTCGTTCCCAAGATCAGCCACAGCGAGGAACGCACAGATGAGAAGGGCGCAGGCGAGATACCACGCCCAAAATGGGATGTTCGGTGGCGGGTGCCCATTTTCTGAGGCGGTCAACGACGCAGTCGGCGCTGCAATGGCAGTGGCGGGGTCGCTTGGGCTGACGTCGACGTCACGAGGGATGAAAGTATAGGTTATGGGAGACATTGTATTGGTGCGTGTGGTAATTGAGTAGGAGGAAAAGTGAAGAATGGGGGCAGCGAAACTGGGAATTTATATCTGAGGAAATAGGGGGTGAGACATTTTTTTACCTTCCGCGGGTATGTCTCAGTCTGAGACCGGAGGGTTTTTCGCCGAGTCTGGACCGGTCGAGGACATGTTCTAGACCGTTCGAAAGGTTCATCATTCATTGGCGTCAGGAGCTTCAGGTGAAGATTTCTCATCCAGAGGGAATTGCGAGTCAACTTGAAGCAATATCCGGGGAGATCCTGAGATACTCTCTGGTTTTTGACGCGAGATCGGTCGACACGAGATCAGGATGGATTTGGGGACTAGGTTTATGCCTTGCCTGTACAAGTGCCCGACGGAAGGTGCATGCAGAAAGACGGCGATCCCCTACTCTGTGTAGCAGAGAAGGGTTCTGTGGGGCTGAAATGCCATCAGTCCTATACATGAAAAGACAACGAACACTGCCACCATCAAAAGCGTGAAAATCATGTGAGTGTCAGGTGATATAAGTCATGGGGTCTACGGACAGTGATTGGTTGAAGGTCAGGTGCGCCGCGCGCCGCGAAGCGGCAGTGCGGCGCCTCTCGGAATCTGCCGTGTCCAGGCGAGCACAGAATTCGCTGTGTTGCATCTCCGTGGCGAAGACACGGGTACCTATGGCTTGTGCGCCAAAACGATGCTTTTTGCACGTGATCATGATGTCATTATATGCCATTATGTCATCCTCTCCGACTAATATTTGAGCATAGATGTTTACATAAAAATCATCGTGTTTCCTGCTCCACAGCCACTCCCTCTTTGCACTACTTTCTCCCCTCACCCCCACAGGCTGCATGAGCTCCCCTATGAATGGCCCCTTTCTCTCTCCCCATCATGTGACTATGTCATCCCCTACTCTGTGTAACAGAGAAGGGTTCTGTGACCATGAAACCGGATTAGACACGCCAAACTGCTTGGACCATCAATTTCACACGTAAATGCTATGACATAAACTGATCCCGTTAATAAATGACCTAAACATGCTCCACCTCACTCCACCTGCATCTCCGATTATATCACTCCACATGCATGACATAAACATGCTCCAACGCTCCTCCTACATTGTTTCTTGACACTTTTTTGTACATAATGGGATTTCGTCACACGCTTGAAATTCTCAATTTGAATCATGCTACCACGATGTCACTGAGAAATTTCGACCAAACTCCGCACAATTGCTGTTGCTTTTTTCAGGAGATGCAATACTCGTCCCTACCTTCTCAATGAACAAGGACCCCATAATGGGTTTTCATCGCACACTTGAAATTCTAAATTTAAATCATGCTACTGCTATGTCACTGACAAATCTCAACCAAACTCTGCACAATCTTGGTTTTTTTAGGACATGCAATACTCATCCCTACCCTCCCTCTGATCAGTGAACAAGGGCCCCATAATGGGTTTTCATCACACATTTAAAATTCTAAATTTGAATCATGCTACCGCAATGTCACTGAGAAATCTCCACCAAACTCCGCACAATTTCTGTT